CCTGTCTAGTTGGATGACACTGATATGACCAACCGACGTCTGAGCGCTGAGCAAAAACCTCTAAAAATATAAAGGTATGATGCAGCTGCCGGAGGAGGGAAGGCAAAGAAGAAGATGGAGAGGAAGTTCATGCGAAGCTCGGTGCTTGTTCAAACTAACGAAACGACGATGACGAGGGGACAAGCAACGGAGCGGCGACGAGGGCAACAAATACGCGAGGACGAGGCGAGACTCAACGGCAAGCCACGAGGGCCGAGAGCGACGGCGACGGAGAGCGAGAGGCAAAGCGGGAAAACTATTATCTTCTGTCCTGTAGGTACAGTACAATTTATATACTGAGATATGTTGAAAAAATGGGGAATTTGGAAACAAATGAATAAGAAAGGGGAAAATGGGTAATATAAAAGGTCAAGGCGGAGCGCCGGGGCGAGGGGATGTGTCGGGACGTGGGAATACAGCTAGAATGGCAACAGGAATGTGCGGAATTAAATGAATGGGGAATATATCCAAATTAGGTGGTGAGGACGTAGTGTGATCGGAATTGGGCATATTACGTGCGTAGCGGTGAGCGGTGCTCATCAACACTCCCCCTTCCATCCCTCCTCCGCATCTGCCTGGAACAATTGCCACCCTTTCCCATTTATTGTCTAGAAGCGCAAATAATGCCGACTGGGTAATGTGCGATTTCATCTACATACGCGGGCTTACTTATTCTCCGTCCTTTGACTCTCGATATATTCGCTTTCCTTCTCTCCTGTGGAAAAAACAAAGTTGAATTTGCCCATACATGCCCTCCCCGAATGCCCTTGGGGGGAGTCAAACCCCCACGTCCCATTCATGGCATGAGTTTTGGCTGCTACGGAAAATGGGTGATGTACAGTTTCATCCACGAGGGATCCTTCACCCACATTTCAACCTAAATATTCCCCCATTGATCCACAGCGCACTAATGTCCGAAGGCAGAACAAAAAAAGGTCGTCTTTTTTCCCCCACGCCCTCTGGGGGACTCGAACCACCACTTTCCCATTCATATTCCTCCGACGAAGGTCTATGCGCAATGAGTGGCGTATCTTTCCGTCCACGAAGGCTCTTTCACCATCTTTCGAACCCGAATATAGTCTCATCTTCGCAATTTTACTTGCAGCCAAAAGAAAACAAAATCATCGCTTCGAATCGGACACCCTCGACGGCCAACATTCCGCTCCCGCATATGACCTTGCGGCGGATGAAAACCATTGCACCTAACCTCGCTCCGAGAAGAAAAAAAGAAGATTGCAAGTTACCCGACATGCTCTCGGGGAGACTCGAACCCCCACTTCCCATTTATATTTGCACATAATTCATCCAAGTCATTGGGAATGGGTGATGTACCATCTCATCCACGAGGGCTAGTATCCCTACTTTCAAACCCGAATCTGGTCTCATCTCTTCACAATTTTACCTGTGGGGGAAAACAAAACAAAATGCTACTTCTGACCAGACATCCTCGACGGCCAACACTCCGCTCTTACGGATGACCTTGCGGCGGATGAGAATCGTTACACCAAACACGCCAGAAAAAAGAAAGAAAGAACTGAATCAATGCCCTCGGGGGGACTCCAGCCCCGCTTTCCATTTGCCACTTAGCAAATAATAGTCACTGAGTACTGAGAATGAGTGATGTACTAATTCATCCACGAGGGCTGATTATCAGGATCTCTAAACGCGGATAGAATCGCATCCATGCACAAATTTTTATTTTATCGAGAAAAAAGCCATAAATTACTTGGGGTTGTGGGCCGTGGCGGTGCCCGGCAAAAACTCGTACTTAGTTTTAAGTACATTAAAATGAGCAACCTGAATCATATGAGCAATTGTACAGTATCTTTCAACTTCAGATAAGTGTTGCCGAAATTCCAAGCGGCTATTCCGTTGCGGATTAAATTCTGAGTGACTATTCAGCGCAGCTCACCCCATAGCTAAATAGGAGGTTGTATTGGACCTTATTAATCCAGCGTGCACAAAGGTGCCCAGGGATATAAGATCAGCCACCACGGACATTTTGATTTGAGTTAAGAGGAACTGGCAGGCTGGGAGCCACTACTTTGGACACAAAATTGTGGTCGAGTGGAACCTAGATTGGATTCAGCTTCCAGGCCCGAGAGGAAATTCTTGAGCAGCACCGACAGCGCCAGTTTAACAGCACATCTCTGATTACACATATTCATTCCTTAATACATCCTAGGTGGCAGCATTCTCTCAGCCCCTCGGTACAGCGCAATTAATCCAGCTCCACTTGGTCTTTTTGTGCCGCAAATTCAATGCGCAGCAGCGGACCGCTAAAGTCAATGGCAACTACAGGTCTCTTTTTTGGAGTCGCCGCGTGCCGCTGACTTGATACATGGCCGCTTGAGCATAATGTCCCCAACAGAGATAGGCCGTATGTACTGCTTTCTGTAGCCGCATGCATCTAACAACATCGCAGCATCTCCGGCTGTAAGCGCTCACATTTCTTTTTTTTACTACTTACGCAGCATACCAACTACCTTATCAGTGTGCGTTACGCGTTGCATGGGAGGCTGCGTGCCGCCATCACATTATGGGGATGACGTGTGGTCGGGTTTGTGAGAGACGACAGGGAGATCAGGGGTTGGATAAAAAGATACAGCGGCGCTATGCGCCGCTACCACACTCTCTGGGACGCGTAGCCGAGGTCGCGGGGAGCGTGCAGACCTCGAAAAGACTCTTTGGTCCCTAGAATAAGAACTCTATACAACCCCAAAATAATAAATCTTCTGCACTCATAGCCGAGGTCGCGGGGAGCGTGCAGACCTCAAAAAGACCCTTTAGTCCCTAGAATAAGAAGTCTATACAACCCCAAAAGAATAAATTTGCTGCACTTCGGCCACCATCCTGCTGGCAATATAGGTCCGGTCCGTATTATTGCGAGGCTCTGTAAACAATTTTATAGTCGCTGACAAAAAAAGTGGTGCATCACCATGTCCTCGGGGGTAGTCGAACCCCCACTTCCCATTTGCACATGTGGTCTAAACGAGTGCCTAACTTGGAATGGGCGATGTACCTTTTCATCCACGAGAGCTGTTGGCTACACCTTTGATCCTTGATAAGAGCCCACATTTTCATCCTCCTTCACGGTAATAGGGGAAAAAAAAACACCAAACAACGTAATGCGTTCGAACCCCCACCTCCCATTTCGACATAATTGGCACTGACTTTCGGACTACTGAATGGGTGATGTACCTTCATCCACAAGGGCTCCTTTCCGTACATCTAAACCTGAGCGATACTCCCATGCGAAAAATAAATAAAAAAGAAGAAGAAAAAATAGATGATCTTGCCTGGCGTGCCCTCGGAGGGACTCGAACCCCCACCTCCCATAGACATTCACTACTAATAATACTGAATGGGTGATGTACCTTCATCCACGAGGGCTACTTTCCCTACATCTGAACCCGTGACGGATTTTTTTTTTTTTTGAAAAAAGACCCATCTTCTCACCTGACACGGGACTCGAACCCCACCTCCCAATGCCATTGCAATCCACTCAAACCTCGGAATACTAAACGGGTGATGTACCTTTTCATCCACGAGGGCTTACTTTCCCTACATTGAACCCTTGATTACAGCTCACATTTTCTTTTCTTCAGTGGCAAAAACGGATGGGAACGCGACATGCCCTCGAGGGACTCGAACCGCCACTGCCCATCTGCATCGACTACTATAACCCGCTGGGAAGTGGGCCACCCCCAGGTAGTGGGCCATTGGCCAATAGTAGCCCTGTCAGTCGGTTTATGTCGCCCTTTGTATTTGGGGGATGGAATACGACCTCAGACCCTCGTTTGTGCAAAGTTTGATGGCGGCATGCCGTGCCGCTCGAAAGTTATGGCATGTTTGACAGCCGAATATTGCCGTGCAAACATCACCGCTTACCGGCACCAACGTCGTCTCATTCTCGACGAGTTCTTCACCGATACACGACCTTTGGGGCTCGTTATGTTCACATTGGGGTCGAATTCCTTAATATGTGCTTTCTTGGCCGATACAACTTGATTTTGCTCAGCTTTCTTCTTAGCCAAGCGCACTTGGACTTTCTGGGTGCGTGGCATTGGCCGCTCTGCCGGGATCTCTGAATGCAGATAGCATCACATCCATGCACAATTCTTTATTTTATCGAGAAAAAAGACGTCTGATGATCCCCAATGCCCTGGGGGGGACTCGAACCCCCGCCTCCATTTCAGCGGTCATTTTATTGGCGGTGATGAATGCAGGATGGGTGATGTGCCATGTCACCTACGAGGGCTGTTGTCCCTACATTTCAACCTAATATATTCGGATTTTTTCGCAATTTACCTGCAGGCAAACAAAATAAAATGCTGCTTCCGACCGGACACCCCCGACGGTGAAATCCCGGTAGCTGCAGATGATGGGACATCCACTAACATTGCGGACGAGAACCGCTCCCTCAGACGGTCCAAAAAAGAAGAAAAAAAGAAAAGCATGCCCCCGAGGGGACTCGAACCTCCACTTCCCATTTACACATGCGTTCCAATTGCGTAACTTGGAATGGGTGATGTACCATTTCATCCACGAGAGCTGTTAGCTATACCTTTGGCTCTTGATAAGAGCTCACATTCTCTTCTCTTGAGTAGCAAAAACGCTTGAATTCCCCGGCATGCTCTCAGGGGGACTCGAACCCCCGCCTCCCATTGACATTGTCCACGTACATCGAATACTGAACAGGTGATGTACCTTCATCCACGAGGGCTCCTTCACCCTCCATTTGTCCCTTGATATGAGCCCACAGCTCACATTCTCTTCTCTCGAGTGGCAAAAATGCTTGGAAGCGCCGCATGCCCTCGGGGGGACTCGAACCCCACCTCCCCTTTGCACATGTGTAGTGGGAAACGTCCACGAGAGCTTATCCTCCCTACATTTGACCCTTGATAACAGCTCACATTCTCTTCTCTGGAGCGGCAAAAATGTAACATGGTATGGGGACATGCCCTCGGGGGGACTCGAACCCCCACCTCCCATTCAGCCTACACTACGACCGCTATACTGCGATCGGGTGATGCGCCAATTCATCCACGAGAGCTGTTGGCTAAACCTTTGACCCTTGATATGAGCGTCCACATTTCCATCCTCCTTCACGGCAAAAAAAGAAGAAAGCATGAAGCATAATAATGCCCTCGGAGGGACTTGAACCCCCACTTCCCATCGAAATTCGCGGAATTCAACAACACCGTATACTGAATGGGTGATGTACAAATCCCATTCTCCCTACATTTGACCCTTGATAACAGCTCACATTCTCTTCCCTTGAGCGGCAAAAAAAGCGTGGAATGATATGCCCTCGGGGGGACTTGAACCCCCACTGCCCATTGGCATAGTAGAAACGTTCAATACTAAATGGGTGATGTACCTTCATAATCCACGAGGGCTCCTTTCCCTACATCTGAACCTGAGTAATACTCACATGCAAATATGAACCGTGACGCAAAGGGAAAAAGAAAAAAAAAAAGATGGGTGATTTTGGCACACACATGCCCTCGGGGGGACTCGAACCCCCGCCTCCCATTTGCATCTACTCTAAGGGCCGCACTATACTGAATGGGTGATGTACCTTCATCCACGAGGGCTCCTTTCCCTACATCTGAGCCCGAGTAATATTCATACCGAAAAATGAACCGTGATGAAAAAAAATGAATTTAAAAAATGATCGGTCCTATTTCCCAATATGCCCTCGGGGGGACTCGAACCCCCACTGCCCATTTGCATCCAGGATTCGAGACCTCGAATATACTAAACGGGTGATGTACCTTCATCCACGAGGGCTTATTCTCCCTACATCCAACCCTTGATAACAGCTCACATTCTCTTCTCTTGAGCGACAAAAAAAGCATGGAAATATATGCCCTCGGGGGGACTTGAACCCCGCCTCCCATTTGCATCTACTTTAGAGCCGCGCAATACTGAATGGGTGATGTACCATTTCATCCACGAGGGCTTATTCTCCCTACATCTGACCCTTGATAACAGCTCATATTCTCTTCTCCTGAGTGGCAAAAACAGACGGCAACAATGCGACATGCCCTCGGGGGGACTCGAACCCCCGCCTCCCATTTGCATCTACTTTAAGAGCCGCACAATACTGAACGGGTGATGTACCATTTCATCCACGAGGGCGTATTCTCCCTACATCCGACCCTTGATAACAGCGCACATTCCCTTCCCTTGAGTGGCAAAAATACATACAACCCTAATATGCCTTCGGGGGGACTCGAACCCCCACTGCCCATTTGCATCTATCCAAGACGTGAAACGATGATACTGAACGGGTGATGTACCTTCATCCACGAGGGCTGAGTTCTATCCCTGTGAACCGGGATTAGATGTGTACTACGTAGTACACTGGATTAATATTATATTAAATCTAGGGCTGCATCGTGCCCACAGAATCGACCAGCACACAAAATAGATCGCCGGAACAAGTATTAAAGTGGGCAACAGACGCGACGAACGACGGCCCCCCAGAAAGGGGCGGGGTGGGCGCGACGGAAAAACATGAAGAACGGGGGAAAAAAAACTTAAGCGATCCTAGAGAATCTCGCCAAAAAAAACAATGGACAAGTGGCGATTCGAACGCCAGACCTCCCTCAGTGACTGGTGACATTCAACTATACTGCATGCCCGTGCGTCGATCTTCTGGGACGCGGCACCTCGGTTTCACAAGCCGAGGGTAGAGAGCTTAAGGTATTATCCGGAAAAGGCGTGGAGCTGCGGCAGTCAAAGGAAAAAAAATGATAGAATTACGGCAGTGATGGCGAAAAATGCCAAAAAAGATGGACAAGTGGCGATTCGAACGCCAGACCTCCCGCAAACCGCAGTCGAAATACGTATGCGAAGCGGGCGCAATAACCAACTATACTACATGCCCATATGCATTCGTCACCAGCCGGTGTAGAGCTCAATGAGGGCAAAAAATGCGTGTTCCGACAACAATCAAAATATTCAAACCTCGCGTCTTTTCTTCTTCCCCAAAAGCCGCTGAGTTGAGACCACCTCCCGAACGCGCCAAAGCGACGCCAAAGCACGCTCAGCCGCCCGTTCACCTCCGTAAAGCGCCCAAAGCGCCTGATGCAGAAATCCCATTGTCCGTCACATGTCACGCGTCACGCTTCCTTTCACCGACTCGCGCGCCGACTGTGCTTTATGGACGTTCTGGGCCACCGCATCCCCTCGAGACTGCCGCGAGGCGCTTGGCAGACCCCGTTCCGGCTTTGGCCACACTGATGTTTGGCGCCCACGAGCGATGTTTGGCACTTGACGCCCCGAAAAACGGACAATGGGAGTGATTTGGTGACAATGGGGTCCTTTATAAAAGAGCATTTGCCGGTTGGTGTTCTGCCTTCTGCACCTTCCCCAGACCAGAAACTCCCTTTCCATCTATCTATCTATCATGCCCGTCGTTCTCCCCCATTGCATCTTTCATCTGCGCCGCGCTGGTGCTCGTCCCGCTGCCGTGGCACTGGCGCGCGGGCACGGTGCCCACCATCTCGATCGCGCTCTGGCTGTTTGTGCTCAATTTCATCAACGGCGTCAACACGGCGCTGTGGATGGACAGCATCGAGACGAAGGCGCTCGTGTGGTGCGATATCAGTGCGTCTCCTTTGTCTTTGTCTTTTGGCTTTGGAGGCTCACCGACAATGTAGCGACGAAGCTCTTCATCGGAAGCAACATCTCGCTGCCGGCGTCCATCTTCTGCCTCTGCATCCACCTCGAGCGCGTGTCGTCCGTGCGCCAGGTGCGCACGACCCCCACTCAGAAGCGCCGCCGCCAGCTCTTCGACTGCGCAATGTGCTTCGGCCTCCCCATCATCTACATGATCCTCCGTGCGTCCTTCTCCCTCTGCTTTCCTGTATTCGTCTCACTTTTGTTCTGGCAGACTACGTCGTGCAGGGCCATCGCTTCGATATCGTCGAGGACTTTGGCTGTCGCCCCGCCACCTACGTCTCCCTCGCCTCCGTCTTCATCCTCTGGGTGCCCCTCCTCCTCTTCTCCGCTGGCTCCTTCATCCTCTCCGGTACGCCCCCTCCCTCCCACCTCCCCTTACTCCCAGTGTCTAACCCCCCATTCACACAGCCCTCGCCCTCCACCACTTCTGGGTCCGGCGCATCACCTTCAACCAGCACCTTGCCACCTCCGCCCTCACACCCTCGCGCTACTTCCGCCTCATGTCCCTCGCGCTCTTCCAGATGTCCTGGGGCCTCGCCGTCACCCTCGGCGATATGCTCTTCACCCTCCGCGGCGGCCTCCGCCCCTGGATCTCTTGGGCCGACGTGCACTCCAACTTCGGCCGCGTCGCCGCCTTCCCCCTCCTCTTCATCCCCGCACAGGACCTGGTGTACACATACGCGCTATGGTGGACGATCCCCGTCTCGAGCCTCGTATTCTTCCTGTTCTTTGCGTTTGGCGCGGACGCGATGCGCGAGTACCGCGCGGTGGTGCGCTGTGTGCTGCGCCGCCCCGCCGAAGATACCAGTTCGTCGTTGCCGGTGTAGTACGTCGTCGTTCCCCTGCCCCCTCCCCACACGTGCTGACCACCGTCCTCTTGTACAGCGCCCCAAAGTCCGCGATCACGCTCAAGAGCCTCCCGAGCCCCACGTCCGAGCCGCCCGCGTACCCCGCGTCCGCCTCCCCATCGTCGTCCAAGTTCTCCAAGTTCACCGACACCGACACCGCGGACGACGACGACACCGCGTCGCAGTACACCGCCGTGCCCCTCCCGACGTTCTACGGCGTCGGCGGCGACGGCGGCGCGGAACGCAAGCACCTCTCGCTGCCGTGATTCCTCCTCATTATCTCTTTATTCTTTTCACGTCCTCGCAACGACGTCCACGCCTCCTTTACGTCTCTCTGTATTTTCTACCACTAGATCCCTTCGTATCTATCTACCTATCACGCTCCTTCCTCCTTTACTAGTAGGGCTTTCCGTTCTCCATGCCAGATCATGTATTCCTAGCACCCGATGAATAAAATAAAATAAAATGAGATAATTATGTAATAAACATGCCATGCAGCACAAATGCCGGTATCAGTTTTTTTTGCCATTGTGCCTGCGGCACGAGGTCGCCGCGTTCTGCATTCCATTCCATTCCCATTCGCAATAATGGGACACCCATTGTCCTTTTGTATTCACGAATATTCGAAAACGGCACAACAATGCGGAGTTTGAATTTTACGATCAATCGCATCAATCGCCTTCTTCCTCTTTGCACCCATCCAAAGCACGCCCAGGAAATGGAAATGGAATGGAATGGAGGCCACATGCACCACCTGCATCGATCACTGCGCGCTTCAAATGGGATAACAGTGGGATAACTTATGGCAGCAAACGGAAATGGCTAAAATCGCACAATGGCACAATGCGTGGGTGGGTTGGCCCGATCTGACAATGCTTTACCCCGAGAGCCGACAATGAGGGCGGACAATGGGCTCTTTGTGTGTGGGTATAAAGGCGGGTGGGGTGCGATGGGAAGGTGCTATCGCACTCTTCGCTCTGCACCGTCACCACCACCGCGATATTTTTTGCTTGCACGACTAGCACCTAGCACTAGCACTAGCACCTATCACCCGTACTAGCGCTCCTACCACCACTCATCCTACCAATCCAATGGACCAGTTCACCGATATCTTCGCCCTCGGCGCCTCCCCCTCGTCGTTCGCTGCCGACCCCACAGCGTCCCCATCCATGTCCCCATCCACATCGCCGTCGCGCGCTGCCACCGACGTCGACGCCGGCCCGCTCGTAGACCTGGATAGCACGCAGCAGGGCTACGGCTACTGGTGCGTCGTCGCATAGATGACGCGCGCGCCCCGTCTCGTAGACGGCCCGCCGCTCGTCGCAGACCTCCTGTCGTCTCGCGTCGTACGCCTTGTAAGTCCTCTCCCCCGCCCCGCACCGCTCATCGCTCATCAGTCGCTCATCTCCAGGACCCACATGCCCCCGTTCCTATCATTATTCCACTACTCTATCTCTCCCACACGCGCGCGCCGGCACGCCGTCCTCACCCTCCTTGCCATGCCTCCATCCCCTATGCGTTCCTCCTTTCTTCTTCAACTCCGTCTCTCTCTCGCAATGGTACGTCGGTCCCATTATATCCCTCCGCACGCCGCTGACTATCTTTTTTTTCGTGCGCAGTATAAGTAGCTGGTTACGCTGCCCATACCACACATACATACCATACCCTACCTATTCGTCTTCGCGCTTCCGCTATATAAATACCATTTCTGAATGAATGAATGAATGAGTGTAATTTTTTGCGTGAATGGAGTCCTGAAATGCAGCTGTGTAATCCTATCCGATGATGGGACTCTGAAACCATGAGTGCTGGATTTTATTTTACCCTCCACCCTCCCGCGCATGAGGCCGGTTGCTCGACGTTCGGTCCATCGCCCCCGCGGCCATGCCCGACAGTGCAGTGAATGGACGCGAAATTTTTGCAAATCTGGGTAAACTGCCTACGTCTTGTGAACACTATATGTAGCGTGCGCGTCTTTCTTTGTCTGACTCAAGTGACAATATTGTGACTTAACTTTACTTCACAGCGGCTGGCAATTAACATAGGTAAACAACATAGCCACAATGTGACTTCAGAAATGAAGCTCTCGGGGGCTCAAACGCTCACCCACTCAAAAATAAATTTCTCTGAGGAATCTAACAGTCTCATAATGTTTCTAAGAGCCTTCCAAGAACATTCTGGGTTCATAACATACCTTTGACCTGAGCCATGGTGAATTACACTGAAATTTTGGATCCCGTCACATCAGCAAAATGTTTTGGGTCTGGTGTGTCTGGTCCATCTGATGTGTCTGACTGGAATGGCGCCAGAATTAAAATGTAGCCAGACTCACCAGAACCATTGCCAGAACATTTATGAGAAAGAAAAAAAAATCTCAATAATTATGGATCCTACAACACATGAACGTATATTTGAAAGTTAAGATGACTCTCAGTGCCTGGTTAATTGAGCAAAGGTCGATGTTTGACGACGAAAAATACAAGTCGAATTCAAACTCCGACAGACACGTGAGTTGAATATGTCGAAATGGCGTGATTGATGATGATCTGGTTCGTCAACTTCGCTCTTTCCCCCCACCATCTCCCCTTCCCTTCCTCCGGCTGGAAGCCGCATACCTTGCTATTTTTCAAGAATTCAAGGCCAACGGACCTCAAGTATCAAGACTTCCTCAAACAACAAGATATCAAGGCTCAAAGCTCAAATCATTAAGCCTACTGCTACTGCTGCGTACTCTTGAGACCTGGTGCTCCTCTGCTCGCTAGTTGGCTTCCCGTCTGCAGTCTTCGCCATCTTCCGCTCTCTTTCCTCCCATGCATTGTTTCTGTACCCAGCGCCGCATGTGGCAAATCCGTTACTGATCACAGATCTGACTTCTTCATAATTGAGACGTGTTTGGAGGATGGTATTGGGTATGCAGGTGTGTAAACTACAGGATTATCCACTTTCTCTTCTCATAATCTCACTTCAGCTGCCAATTGTCTGTCGCCTGACATCATTTTCTCTGTCTTGGAAATCGGCGCACGCGGTGTGGACAAGGCCCATATATCAGTTCCTATGTATTACGTGCCAACAATCCAATATGTGCTGCATTGACAGCGTTGTCCACATTTATGAGGCCCAGCATATATAAGCACCAGAGCTGCGGGCTTTGGTGTCAGATGGCAACATCTGGTGCCAGAACGTATTCTGAGGTGCCGCAAGTTATTATGTTGCCAGATTGGATTCTGGCAGTCTGGCGCATTTGGTTGGTCTGGTGCCAGATCAACCAGACACGAAACATTTTCCTGATGCACTGTAACTTGCAAAATATTGTCTATCAAACTCAAACGAGTGTCGGAATCCATTTAAGATGAGT